GCCCCACCCATGACTAGATTTCGTACCACGACGAGTTTCCCCTTCAGTTTAACATTAATCTTCTCTGTCCACTTAGCCTTTGCCTTCTTCTTGAACAGCTCGCTCCCTCTCAGCGCCAAGAAAAATCTGTGTGCAAGAACATTGATCCAGTGGCATTGCTCAGTTTCTGCCATTGCAATGGGTTCATTGTCTTGATCGAGGGGAGTCGATCCCGGTTTCTTTGACCGAGAGGGTCGTAGCAATGCATCGTTATCCCCAGGTGTCAAAGCTTGACGCAAGAATTCCACAACGTTCTCCGGCCAGGGTTCGTGATGCTCTCGTGTCTGATGGTGTGCAGAGCTGCTGGTTGTTTTGTGTTTGCTCTCGAGCAGCTCATCTTTGAGGATTTCATGGTCAGCCGCCGTTCCCGTCCCTTCAGGGCCGCCAGTCACACCAATAAACTCTTTGGCAAAGGAAGGGCGGTCACCAGCAGACACCTTGAAGAGACGACGGGATGGGTCGAGAAAGTGACTGACAAGGCGAAAAACGAGGAATGCTTCTATCGCCAAGACCGACAGAATGCCAAAGAAGAGGCCTTTTATAAACGAGGAAGTACCCGTTGATGTCGCATGCTGAACCGCCTCTTCTGAAAAGAAGCCTTGCAAGGTCATCCTGTACGTCGCCAGCGGCTACCCTCCATCGCAGAGCTTTGGTGCTGCAAATGCAACTGCCGGTCAAAGTCAATCGTGGATTTAAAGCACGTGCTCGGTGAGATTCGCAATATAAACAAAAGCGATGGCTGTTCATTCGCAAATCTCCGGGAGGTACGCAAGTTTGCCGTATGATCATGGTAGATCTGGGGCCAATTTCCTTACAATGTTTTCCAATTGGTGAACGGGTTGCCGTGAATACCTGCGATAATAAGGCGTACTTGAATCCTTCCACATCAATTTCGATGGTACTCGAATGAATTTACTGCTAATTTGACAAGATTTTCTGCAAGTAGTTGTCCAAAACTTCCACCACAGTGAGCAGTAACAAATCAGATCATGAACGGATTCTGAATCCTTTCACCGCTTGATTCATGCAAGCAAATTGCTTTCACATATGTCAATCATTGCATTAAGACATTGCTTCTTGAAGTTCACATTTAAGCCTGTACAGTACCTGAAGCGTCAACCGTGTGCTATCAATTATGGCCTTCAGAATGCAGTCGCTTCAGGACTCGCTGCTGACAATCGCCTAATCAACCGCATGATAGTTCATATTTCGACCTACTCAAGAATGATTTCACACTGGTTGATCTTACTGGCGAATGACAATAAGGAAATAACTACACATAGAGCATATTTATTGTTCC